ACCGTAACTACGTAACCTACTCGTACTACCTACGTACTACTACGTACTACTCTACTACTCTACTACTACTACTCTACTCTACTCTCTACTCTCTCTCTCTCTCTCTCTCTCTCTCTCTCTCTCTCTCTCTCTCTCTCTCTCTCTCTCTCTCTCTCTCTCTCTCTCTCTCTCTACACACACACAACTACTACTATTTAGAAATCGAAATCGAATTTTTTTTTCGAAATAAACATAAGCTAGGAAAGTTCTTTATAAAATCGTCATCTTTGCATCATATGAGAAGTGCGAGTTAGTACAGCGAAGGAGCTACTATAATTTTATACAGAAGCATATAGCGTCTCATCGGTATAGTCAAGTTGTCTGACAGATCGCTGGTGTGTATACTGCGGCCTAAGATAATACAAAAGGAGCACGCCTGCTGTCGTGCGAAGACGATACGGTGTGAATGCAAACGGCGCAGTAAATAGCTATTTAGGAATATAATAACAGCATTGATTTTACGAGAATTATCTCGATCACTATGCATTTAGAAATAAAGTAAACACGTGATTATTGTAAGAGCAATTATGGCTAGCACAATATTTTCCCAATCGATATCGAATCGCTATTCTGCAGAGGTCCGATGCAAAACAATATTTTCGCAACAACGGCGACACAAAATAACACCGGTTGTTCTCTTTCCTTTTCGCAGTCGACGCGCATATCAATGATAATATCAACTATATAGGGGTCACTAGTGATACGTTATTCTATCAGATATATATTTGTTTTCGTTGCGCTTTAATGGATATTCGCGCTGTGTGTTTTTGCACCTGGCGGTTGTTCTATATGCGAGATGTAGAATTAACTGCATGACATGAGTCGTTCATTATTATCGTACCTACGCTGAGGAAAGAACAAAGCGAAAGTCCTATTACATGAATATCGCACACATATTATAATAACTAATTCGTAAGTGTATTATTAGAGCAGCAAATGTGTGTTTAACGATTGCGTACATATAGCCGTATTAAATTGCATACTGGATTGCATTAGAACACGTTATATGCAATGTAGAAATTGCACATACTTCACGTACTCGAAAGTACACCACACGAATTATCGCTAGATGTTTAGAACAAATAGATAAAAGTTAACCGAAAAATCGAACATGCCTAAAAAAACTATTTTTATTTCACCGTCCCTCGCAGACGAGAATGGGTTTTATTATTTAATTTGCAAAATTTTGGCTCACGTTCTCTAAACCACAATGATTATAATCATATAGTAGAACGATACGGTGGAAACCTATGTAATTTTACTGTGATGTCCGGACGATCACATTCATATAGAACATAGCATTATAAATTGTTGTATACGTAAGTAAAAACGTACATAGGAACTTTCCTATTATTACGTTTCAATGCACGAGGAGTAAAAAAAATTGGCTGCTCATAATTAATTTCGTCATCGTAAATTCGTAGAGCACGTCTGCGATCTATGCGTGTATCTCTCGCTTCTCTTCTCGATCTACACTCCCTCGTTTCCCGCACCCTCCCCCCTCGCACACCCATCAACGCGTTACCGGCAATGGTGGTCATGTTGAAAGTCAACGAGCGATAATTAGCGCTGCTGTTTTCAGCTGCCTATTCAATGAGCAACTGTAAATATGTAGAGATTTCTGTCTCTCTGCGCGTGTGTGTGTTGTGTGTGTGTGTGTGTGTGTGTGTGTGTGTGTGTGTGTGTGTGTGTGTGTGTGTGTGTGTGTGTGTGTGTGTGTGTGTGTGTGTGTGTGTGTGTGTGTGTGTGTGCGACGGCGCATCTGCTGGTGTGTGCGTGTGTCGGTGTGTATTTACGTACTGCAGCAGATACTGCTGACAATGACCGTGGTCAGGCCGATCAAAGCAAACGACGTGGTGTGAAAACGACACGGTTCCGTCGCATTATAATTGCTGCGCGACGATGTTTATCTTCAAATAAATTTTCAATTATCGCTGGAAGCCGCACCGCATTGTGCCCGCCGCTGCTCCTTCCTGTGCCGGCGCTGCCAAGGATATGAAGCAATCAGGACGTGTGATCGTGCCTCCACAAAGAACGACTGTCATTATTAGCGTGGAAGGCGCTAGCCTGCGCTGGCAGCGTACGACCTCACTGTTCTGTGTTGCCGCGGCGTCACCGAGCAACCCTGCATGCTTGCTGCGTGTGAGCGAGTGTGCACATCTACCATGAGGGATGTCGACGGGATGCCAAGCATACTGAGCATGCCGGCATGATCCGGACAAGCACATTTAATTAAAAAATATGAATAAGACCAAATTAATATATATATATATATATACGCAATTTTATGCAATTATTTAATCCTTAATACACGATCATGCGCCTGTTTCGCGCGTGCAGCAGTTAATAATAAAAATGAAAATTACGAACATAATTAGCTGCGTAAAAGCGAGCGAGCAGGAGGGGGAAGACAGAGAGGTGGCTGAGAGAGGGAGGCCGGACAATAAGACCTGTGTAGTACGGATTCCTGGCAGGCAGGTCCTTTGTCGGCGATTAAAACCCGCGTCGTGCGCTCACGCCGGCCAATTCATATTTATCTACAAGGGCCGTGATACATGCTCAAGTGTCTGACGATTCCTCGGAGGCCAACCAACAGCTATTTATTAGCCACCATCAGCCGCATTCACATGGGCGTCATGCGTCAAGGGTATATATATATATATATATATATATATATATATATATATATATATATATATATATATATCACAATGCATACATAACACATGCGCCTACACACGTGGGCACACATAAACGCACACCCTCACACACCCGCACACACGCACGCCCAATCAGACATGCGAGTACGCACGCACGCACGCACACACACTCATGCATGCATGCAAGCACACATGCACACATAAAAAGAAATGCACACATGCATATACGTACACAAATGCGTACACACACGCGCTTACACACACAGGTACACACACACACACGC